ACAACCCCTCCTGACTTAGTCTTAGTCTCATTTCCTCCGCTAACTGAACATCCTGCTCCAGAAAATTGCTCGGGGTTATCTTGTTTGATCCCAGAGAGAGAGAGAGATAAAGAGAGAGAGCGCAAATTTTCCAAAAAGTTAGCTGGTTGCTAAGTTTTGAAGCGCCCAGACGGCGAAGGAGGCAAAGGTGAAAAACAAAGCGCGGAATGGGAAGAGACAGGAGGGGAGCAAAACGCGGTTAAGGAAGGAGGGTTTAAAGAAGCAATATGGCCGGGAGAGCGTTGTAAAGCTACTTGTCAGCGACGTGTCAGTTCCTAACTACCTCCAAGTGCCATTATTGGACTCGGGAGAGCATTAAGCCAACCTGCAATATAAAAAAAGCCTCTGAACAGGATATTGATGATAGCAAGTGCTGCGGCCTGGCCCAGGATTGGGATTTAAGCCCTCGGAAACATGATAGAGTCGAGTCCCCCACCCAACCCCCCATCCTCCCCTCCCCTTTTTTTTTCTCTATCAGATGGGATTCAGTTGAAAAGATACTAATGGAAGTGGGAGATTAATGTATCACTTGGTTCTTGGGCGAGGGGGGAGACGGGTCAGAGGGACATAAATAAGATGAGTGGGGCAAAAAAATCAGCTGCTTTAGCCGCTTCAGTATTTACGGCAGCTTTTTTTATTTATTTTTTGAACATTTTTTTTGCTGATGATTCAACGCAAGAACTAATCATCATGAAATCACGCCGCTCCAGAAGTTCGCTACATCCATTACGAGCCCCCCCCCACCAGCGTGTGGGAGAACCGTTAGAAACGGCTATATTTACCCACGTCACAGAGAATGGGGACAGCCTACTTAAAGTCTATTTATCCCGCTCGCTTTGCACTTCCCCGCTCGTTGCTTATTCACTTTTTCTGGATCGGTACGTTTCATATCGTCCACGGCATCGTGGCACATCAACCAGAGAGTTCTTACCACATTACATATCTGTTTTTTTTTGTTTTTTTTTCCAACATAGGGGTAAAAAAAAAAAAGGTGAAAGTAAAACTCTTAATGCACTGAAGAGAAAAGCCCTCACATGTACAGATAACAGTGAAAGTCTGCTTGGTTTTTTGCAACCGAGCAGAAATATCGTGTCCCTCGTAGGGTAAACTTCAGGTGATTCGCACCAGAGTGGGGAACATAATAACCAATAACTGAACTGTGACTGTGGGCGACTGGGACTGTACGGCGAGGGCAAATATACAGCATCACGGGGGGAAAAAAAAGATAGATATGATGAAAACTCGTGCTTCAAAAAAACAGCAACAGACTATTTACTATTTATATTAACCCAAAAAACGCAAGTAACAGCGGGAGAATATTAAAAACTCGAGCTGAGAGGTGAGAGAAGTGTTAAATTGGTGATAAATCACAGGTTGTTTCGTTCTTTTTTTCGATCGTGGCATTAAAAGTTGCCTGGTCAGGGTTAAAAAATCCCCACGTTTTGCCAGGAAATAGTTCCTTTCCTCAATTTTCACATGCAGGCCTGAAACCAACCCCAATCACAAAAATGCGACTTGGGAGGGAAGTGCTTTCATTTTGACAAGAACTATATAATTATGCTTGGCTTTAACCCTTTCTTCTGTGTAGGCATCAACAACAGCACACAATTCACTCAAATACAGCAACAAATAAAAAAACAAAACAAAAATCATGAATAAATTTTCATTATTTTAAAGCTGGTTTATGTAAATGGAATTCCGAACATTAGCTGTTTAGAGAAGAGTTAATGAGAAGGTTGAAAGCCATTCCTTTATCTTGAGGCAAGCTGCTGATTGGCTTCATGTTGAAACAGACTGCTAACAAGAGGGGAACAGCTAGCTGGGGAAATGAGCCTCATTTGTCACGATGGTTCTGTCGTCGTTTGGAATAAACCATTAAAATCTTATCTAACTGGTTAAAATGTTTCAAAAATTTTTAAAGATAGTCATATGTATTTAGTCCGTTGGTCAGATATGAGACGAGCATTTACAATGAAGCTCCATTTCTATGAGTAATGTCTTTCTGTTCCCAGTGTTCGGGCCAGGAGACGTAATAAAGGCTTTATTAAGCACTTGCAGGTATTTTTTTCCGCGCGTAAAGAGCCTTTTTATTCAACTTACCAAAGCACTGGAGCAGAACTTCTAATGAGGATATGAAATAACCTGGGGGAGTTTTCATTTCTTTTCTCTCCTCAAGCCCCAAGCACGGGGAGACTTAATCAGCCAGAGTGTTTAGTTTCCCATCCAGCTCTGGTTTGCTTATCAGTAATTAAATGTTCACTGGTTCCCCGCGGGCTTCTCCAGTTCCTCTGATAAAGAACCATTACGCTTTTGATAGGAACCGTACCAGATGTGCACCTTAACTGCCCTCTTATGGATTGTTTTTTTTTTTTTTGCTCTCTTAAATACCACTTACTCATTCCAGGGAAGTTTGACATTAGGTCTAATAATGTACCGTTTTTTTTTTTTTTTTCCTTCCCCAGACCGAGCGCTATTTGCAAGGCGGGGTTTACACCACCAGCCTGCAACGCTGCTCATTAGGTCTGATAACCAGCTCTAAAAAAAAAGTCACCTATTACTTGGCCAAATGATTGTTTTTTTCTCTAATCCTGACAGCCCTGGAACATGACTCCGACCTCATTACTGCTCATGCTATTTTAGCACTTTGTGTGGAGACACATTTCTCCACACAAAATCAGAATTTAATAAAAAATGTTCGTGTTCAAGTTTATCATAAAATAACCCCACACGGCTATACAAAGTCTACTACATCTTTAATAACACATACGGCATCTAATGCTTAACCTCTATTCATCTTGACCGAGTTTTAAGTAAAAAAAAAATCATTGTTTTGACTTTTTTGTACTCAAAAATCACTCCATAAATTATTCACCCGGCAAATTCTGAAACGATTCCAAGGCATTAAAGGCATATGGCCGCCCACCCTGAGCCATGGTTCTGCTCGAGGTTTCTGCCTGTTAAAAGGAAGTTTTTCCTTGCCTGTGTCGCCTAGTGCTTGCTCATGGTGGGAATTGTTGGGTTTCTGTAATTAACTTCAGAGTAGGGTCTGACCTTCTCTGTTTGGAAAGCGCTGTGAGACAACTGTTGTTGTGATGTGGCGCTATGTAAATAAAATTGAATTGAATTGAAATTGAACTCCATAAATTATTCACCCGGCAAATTCTGAAAAATTAACGATTCCGAGGCATTAAAGGGACGTGGTGATTCACTACGCCGTTTAAAGGACAGGAAGTCCTACAGAAAATGTAAACCTCTCCAGTCAAGGCAAAAAAAAAGGGAAGAAAAGAAGGACCGAACTGAAGCGCAGAACATCAACGGCATGACATCCTTTGAACGCGTGAACCAGAAGTCTAGTTTTCTTCAAAAGGGAAGACTTTTTCTTTGGCGTTGACACAGCGTGAGAGGGTTTTGATCCACTGTGAGACGCCTGAATTGTGGATCAGTCGCCTGTTCTGAAGCCGAACGGCTCCCGCCATGTTCCTGACAGCTGGTGCAGATGCTGACGGATGTGTTTGGAAACTTCCAATTGTTCTGGCTATCCAGTGTCGTGAAATGTGATTGCGAACAGCAGAGAACAGAAGACGGAAAGGTCTTTTTGTCTTAGTCACAACGTCTAAAAACAAAAAAAATTCCGTACTGGTCTCTCTCGCCAATGAAAATCGTAGCTAAAGACGCCTCTCTTTGCCCGGTATATCATTGTCCTGCTTGTATTGAGCGCAACTTCACGATGAAGAGCTTTGACTTTGATCTCAGCCTTGAACCTCCCAAAGCCGGCCTTGTCATCTACCGTTTCCTCCCACTTTCTTCCCCCCCGTGACCCGGTGACATTATCGACTGAATCCTTGATGAGCCGTGCTGAGGAGGTGAAATCCGGCACCCCCACGATAAGATCAGACACCTCGGCCACTCCCATCCCGCGCGTACGGACAGCGGGGCCAGGCCCATGAATGCAGCATGAGCTCCGCACAGATTAGAACCGTCACAGCTCAAAAAAACTGGAGCAAAAAGTTGGTTTTCACCCGCGAATCTTAAATCAAACCGCCTCCACTGATAATCAAATTTTGCAAACAGAACAGAGTGTCTTTTTCTTTGTCCTAGCAGAGAAGGTTTGCTCGTGGGCATCGATCTGTTTCCTGACTGTAAAGCCTCTTTGAAAGCTTATTCGCAAGCCCCGCGCTAATACAAAAAGGAGCTTTGCCAAAAGTTGGGAGGGAAAAAACAAAAAAACAATCAAAAAGTGGGATGCTTGTGTTTTGGCCACAGGCTCTTCAGAGACCAAAGGAGCAGAAAAAAAAAAAACTTTCCCTGTCATCAGGAGATGTTTTGTTAGGTTTTGTTTTCTCCCTCCGAAAATATTCAGCTGATTCTTTTACAAAAGACAAAAATGAAAAAAGCCAATATAAACTGAAAGCACAAAGATTTGTTGAAATATAAATCTTGTCGTTTTTAGGGACATTTATAAGACTGGAGAAAAAAAATTGAGCTCACTTGAAGGTGACTGAAATTTAATGAATCATTTTTTATTTTATGTTATTTGGTATTGACATTTTTACTCCTGAAGAACACAGCATAAACATTTATGACGCATATTCAGAGAAACAACTAAAGGGAAGGACAGAAAAATCCACAGCAGCCATATATTCTGTAGATATGAATGTTCTCCCTAAGTGAGCCGTAGTAGCTTAAGATCAAGTGTTCTGTTCCTCTATATTTCCAGTACGACTTCATTTGGGCATTGGGAATCCAGTGTAATTAAGTTCTGGGATTAATATGTGGAAATATATTTGGTTTGGCTTCCTTTCCTTTTTTTAAGCAGCGGCGTTAACTAACAAAAGAGACGAGTGCATGGGAAAAAAAAAGAAGCTGCAAGAAGGAATCCCTTACTCCCAGATGTAATTATTTCCTATTCATGATCGTTTTTTTACGCTTGATGACTCTAATGACTTTGAGGTTGGAGGAATATGAGTCCGGGTGTGAGCGGAGGGGATCTGATGGGTGAAACCCTGCTCAGTTATTGGGATCGCGGGCCAAAGACGGTCCTCGACTTGGTTTTAGGAGTCTGTGAACGAGTCTCTTTCATCTCAGCTCTTACGGCTCTTCCCCTTTCTTGACTTTTAGAAACTCCACTCTCGGATCATGGATTTGTCTGCGGCAGACCTGCTTCTGGAGCCGGAGCGGAGCAAGGCTTTCCTGTTTTCCAGGAACACAGAGTCTCCTTCCAGTGTAAGCGTAATGGGAAATCATCCAGGGGTCTGTGCACTTGTCTGTTCATGCTGTATCATTCTGTATCCCTTAAAAAAAAAATCATTGGGAGATATTAAAATACAAATGGGGCAACGTGAAGCCGTGACCCCTTATCTGCCCTCAGCAGGAAGGGCTGGCAGTATCACTTGGCACAAGGAGGAATAAATCCTTGTCATATTACCAGAAAACCATCGATTGAGACTCATCATCTGTAAAAAGGAAAAAAAAAAAAGTCTCCACCGGACTGTGTGGTACATTACTCATCTTATGTATTATGCATCGCAGCCTCGTTTTATTCTTTTACTCCCCCCGAGAACAGCACCTGATGAGCTAATGTGCTATCAAAGCGGAGGAGGACTGAGTAAATGAAACAATAATAACCTCAGAGTGAATTATGAATAATCCAAACGGGTATGTGTCTTTTTTTTTAAAGGCTGCGTTAAGTGATACACACAAGCGACACCTCTATTTGATTACCCAAATCTAATTTCCTGCCATTGCGATGAGGTTCTAATCGGTAAACACCCCCCATCCGGTGAAGACAGGACATGACGGTTGGGGTATTTTTCAAGGGCGTCTTTGCGAGTTAGCCACCTTGTGTGGAATATCTTAAGTCAAATAGCGTTCATAGTACTGTAAATGCAACGTTAAATTTTTTGTTTTTACCGATATTTTGTATTTTGCGCAGGACACCCAGTTGAACGGAAAGCCAGGCCTCCCCGTGGCCAAATGCCTGAGCCAGCTGAGCCTGACGGTGCCCGCCCCCCTCTACCAGCGCAGCAGCTGCAGCAGCAGCGAGCTGTCCCTGTCCAGCGCGTGCAGCGAGTTCTCCAGCGGCTCCTACACCTGGAATGATGGACGCTCCTGCGGGAAAATGGTAAAGCCTCTCAACGCTCCCAGCCTTAAAAACAAACCAAACAAAAAAAACATTCAGTTCCACCAAACCGTCCCGAGTGGCCACCCGTCACGATTTCCCTGTCGTCTTTTGAGACCCCTTTCAACCCAGTGCCATTATTGCTGTAACCGTGTTACAGTTTGTGTGTGATTTCTGTCAATCTCTCCTGCTTGATAAATATTCTGGTAGTTAGGAACAGTAGCAACTGCTATTTTAACTTAAACTGAAGACAGTGGAGAAGAAAAGAAGGTAGTCGGTCATAAAAGTGTAAATTGTTAAAAGCCCATCAGTTCAAAGTGTGTTATTACATATGTTACTCATTTCAAGAAGACCCTCTAAACAGCTAAAATGGCCATAAGGGTCGATAGTGGCAATGGATACGGCGACGCCTCTTCTTAAATGTGGCATAGCAAATGTTGCTTTTAGCGTAAAGCGTTTGCATAGCTGTCTTCCTACAATTAAGCAGTCTCCCTATTGCTGCTAAAGGGTTTTAATAATCCCTTATTTTCCCATTCCAAGTTTGAAGACCTACTAGAGATAACTGCTGCAAAAATGTTTTTTTTTTAAATTAATGCAAAATGCAGCTGAAAAAGAGGTGAAGCAGAATTAAACCAGATTTTACATATGTCGTTCTTCGCAATATGACTAGAGATTTGAATTGGTTGCTGGAAAGCATGACTGAGCGAAATATCCCCCTTTCTTTTCCCCTCGCAGTCCTCGTTAACATGGGAGAAGAGGCTGAGTTTAGGTTCGTCGGCCCCCAGTAACATCTGTGCAACCCCGGAGGAGCAGCCGCCAGCGAGACGCAAGGAGAGCAACATTCTCGAGGGCCTGAGAAAGCTCCAGAGGAGGAGACATAGGAGCTCCTCCTGCTCGTCCAAGGTCTCCAAATCTGGCTACAAGGACTGCATGAACTCCAACGAGGGCATTTACTCGCTGGGTGTCAAGGGCAGCAGTAAGGGGGTGTCTAAGCCTACCCCCGTTAGCAGAACTTCCGCTGCGCGGGGGAAGCAGTTCTCGTTCGATTCCGATGATGCCGATGATGAGTTGGCTCACTCCAGCAGCAGAGATAACATCCCCACCAGGGACAGCTGGGTCCACTGCAAGAGACTCTCGCATAGCATCTCAGACAGCCTGTGCAGCTGGGAGGGGACGCAGGAAAATGGAGCCGGGGGTGACGCCACATCAGGTCCCGCCGACCCAAAAGGCCCCCCTGAGTGTGACTCCAAAGAGCGTCCGGAGAAGCTTGTGGGTCTCCTAAGCAGTTTTCTCTACGACGGAGGGCGGAGGTCCGCTTTTCACAGACCGTCCTTGCGGCACTTCACTCCTCCAGACCCAGATTGTTCCAATCGCCTCCGTGATGTGGATGATCCACGAGAACTCAACCCTGCGTCCAGCGACGCCCGAATGCCCTGCAGTCAGCCATTGGAGCAGGCAGAGAGGGATTTCCAGAGGCTGTCCAGGGATACCGCCAAGCTCCTCAAACAACAATATTTGCGAAGAGACCAGGGTCGCACCCAGTCTGCAGATGGGAGGCTTAGGCCTTTTAGTCTACTGAAGGAGCCCAAAGAAGCCAAGTGCACCCAGTCTGAGGAGAGCATATTGGCTATATTTGACGCAGAAGGAGAGGCTATTGACTTGAATGCTCAGAGGCTCGAGGTGGGTGCAGTTGTCGGCCACGATCGGATTGTTGCCAGTTACATGGAACAGGTCCAACATGAGAGGCCAACGAGGCAAAGGGCGTCAAATACGAGAAACTACTCTGTTCTCGAATCTCCGGAAAGACCCCCTGAATACCAGCCTGGGTCCAGCAGACTAAACAGTCGTAGGGGAAGTACGGAGAGGCTGTCGATGCAGTTTACTCCTCAGAGGAAACTAATCAAGCCACCAAGCAGTCGGGCTAATAAAGGCCACTCCATCCCTCCCATGAATGAAGCTGCAGGTTCCAAATCAAGCGGCTCGAAGATTCCTGGTCGTAACAAACCTTCGGCGTCCCCACTAAGACTATCTAAGGGCTGTAACGCCGATTTAGGCAACAGTGGAAACTCAGGTCCCTCCACTCAGGAGAAATCCCCCTCTTCTCCTGCTGTGAAAATGTCCAGGTTCATCAAGACTCAAGGAACGTGCACGCAAAGTCCAAAGACTGTGAACGCCAAGCTCCCGAGCAGGGCCGAATGGAGCAAAGGCTCGTCGTCCAGTTCCCCCCAACTCTCAAGGAGGCACCTGGAGTACGGTGACAGTAGTGAGCAGCCGACCCGAGACAAACACTGTGAAGCCAGCAAAACCAAACTCAGGTCTCCTTCTCCTCCCCCTCCCCCTGGCCGCACCACCTCCTTACTTATCAGACCAAATTACGAGGGGTCGCCTCAAGCACATAAAACAGGGGTGGCTCAACCATCCACGCCGACCACTGTGAGGGGCCCTCCCCCAAGTTACCACAACTCACTGGCACCAAATATGCAAGCCACGCTACCCATTAAGGACAAAGACTGTTTAGAGTTAGATGCAGGCTACGGGACTGCACTTGCACCTCAGAAGCTGGTAGACAAAACCAGTCAGCACCTTCAAAAGTCCCCTGCCGCGACTCAGACACCGACAAAAGGCACTTCCAAGCGGACAAAAGACTACCTCCCCTCTGCAAACTCAGGGTGCGGCAGAGAACCTGAAAATGCACCTCGAAGCTCAAAGAATGTCCCCCCTCCTTACAGTGCTCTCAGGGGCCCCTCCCTCCAGAACTCATTTGCAAACAGGAGAGGCCAGGCTGGTGACAATGTCCACCAGTCAGTGCAGAAGGCCTCGGTCAGCTTACCCATATCGCTTCAGGACAGCCCTCAGTGTCAGACAGACCCACAAAGCGGTCAGTCAGCAGTCAGCCCCCCCACGTCAGCTGTTTTGTCACCTAACCTCGCGGACAAAGCCTCAAAGACTCGCATCCCAATGGGTTTTAAAGCCTTTTTAAAGTCTCCCCCGAGTCACAAAAGTAGTTCCTCTGTTGCAGACAAACAAAACAAAGACCATATCAACTCTGTCTCGAAGGAGACCGTAACTTTAAACGTTTCCACCCAATGCGATGGCCTGCAGGTTGCATACACTGTCGACTCCCCCAAAGGTGAACCCCACAGTGTACACCAGGAAGAGGGGGGGCATGCCCCTCAGATGGCAGAAGAAGGGGATGCTTGCAATAAGGGGAAAAGGGGTAGTCAACTTTTCAGTAGGTCCATATCTGTTACCACCAAACCTCATCTAAAGCCGGCTTTAGGAATGAATGGGGCCAAAGCTCGTAGCCAGAGTTTCAGCACCAACTACATAGAGAAACCCAACATCGGTGGGCCAGAAGGACCCGGAAGAGTAAGAACTCAGATCATAACCAACTCAGGTGAACGAGGGAACTCTCTATCAAGACAGAGTTCTTCAGAGGCAGCCGCCGTTGGACTGGCCGAAAGCCCGATCCATTCCCCCAGAGCCAGGCTTAGCCATTATGGAGGCATGACAGGTCCTAGCGGCTTTCAAGAGAAAACTCCCAGACTCGAACCAAATGGAGAGGGGTCACAGGACGGGTGGAAAGGGGAGGGAGTTGCTTCACCTTCTCGAAAAGAAGCACGCAGTTTGCCCGCGAAGGAAAGAGCTGGTTTGAACAACATCCGAAAGCCAGAAAAAGTGGCCTCCCATCCACAGTTTCAGCCTCCGTCCTCTTGCGTCTACAACCTGGAAAGCGCTGCCAGAGAAACGGAGGGCGTGGCGACCACCTCTAATAACGAGCCGGCCAAAACCAAACTGGACGTACCGAACACACCCCCGGATGCGGAGGAGAAGAAAAACACCGCAGCGGCATGCACTATCGAAGAGAAAGTCATGATGGGGATTGAAGAAAACTTGCAAAAATGTCAAGAGCAGGAGAAAGTCGCCGCCAGCGAGGCCAAACAGAAAACGGGCCCCTCTCTGGCCAACTGGTTTGGCCTGCGCAAGAGCAAACTTCCAGCTTTGGGCGGCAAAAAGGTGGACTCGCCCAAAGGCAAAGAGGAGAGGAAGGACCTGAAGATCGGATCGGTGCTCGGTGGCAAACAGCCCAAGTCGGACAAGAAAAAGGACAAGAAAAAAGAGAGCCAGGAGGCGCAGAACCTGTCTGAGATGAACAACAAGCTGAGCTCCATCATGGACCACTGCAACAACCAGATGGAGCAGATCGCCACTCAGATCCAGTGCACGACTGCGCTCATCGGCAAGGACCAGTTCGTGAAAGAGTTCCTCGGCAGGTGGGTGATGTTTGCGACTGATAAAAAAAATAAGATGCATGATTTCTATTTAACTGCTCTCATTGAGACTTAAAAGCAAATCTATTACGTTGGGCTTGAGCTATCACTGAGATGCATTCGCTGTCTGTCTAAGTTGTGAACACACACAGATCTTAGGCCGCCATTCTGCACTAAAGGTAAAACATGTTTAAGCCGGGAGAAGCACCACATTTCACCACACGCACTTCTCATTTCATCGATTTTCCACTTCAAACCCCATTTGACAGATTGCTCTTCCCTTTAAAGGAGGGGCCGTTAACCACTCTCGGTGTGTGTTCTTGGTCATTGAAAGAGACAGAGATATGAGATCTAGGTTTGCCTGCTAATAGGAACACAAAAATATCAGGGTCACTGCAATTTATCTGGAGTCGCGATTTTTTCTACCCGATGAGGGACCTACTTGGCTAACGGGCACGAAAGCAAGTACGGAATCTGGTCTCGTTGCAGGACCGCCGTGAAGGCCGGCTCTGTGGCCGGAACGCCGCCCGCCATCTCCACGCCCAAGAAGCAGACGAAGGGAGACGTGCAGATCTGCGCGGACACCGCTGTAAGTGAGGAGCTCCTCCCCTGGCTTCGTTAGGGCTGCGCGCTGGTTTTTCGGGCGGGCGGGTTCCCACGGGCTTTTCGCACTTGCTTAGAATGTTCACGTCCACAGCCCAGCCGCCTCTTCAGCAACGCATCCCCAAACGGCGCGCTATCGATTCACACCGTGTTCTGACTCAGCCTACAGTACAACTCATTGCCTGCCTTTTTTTTTTCTCTTTATTCTCTTTCTTTTTTTTTTTGTTAATATAAACTCAGGCATATTTCGTTTGCAAAAGAAGGAGGCCTTTAAAGCTACTTTCCATCCCGAGATGGATCCATCGATCCACGCTCATAATATCAATTTGGGTCTCTCTCAACGGCTTTATTGCCCTTTGTAAGCAAAATACTAGCATTATGACCTTAAACTTTATAATATGTCGGTCAGGAGAAAATGATGAAGAGAGACACACAAGAGAGGCTGGGGGAAAAAAAGCCAGACGGTGGTAATAAAAGAAAGTAAAAGGAGCAGTCTGAGCTGAAGAGGAGAGTGACAGTCTCACCACATAATGCAGGAAACTTAATCCAGATGATGTGGAATTTTGATAACGCGGAGGAGCCTCTTATCGCTGGCACTCTATTTGACAAAAGGGCCATTTAATACCTTCCTCTGAGTATTCCGTCTATCTTCTCCCCACAGAAATGCAACAATAGAACAGCGATTCATGACCTACAAGCTCCTTTTGAACCATCCTCTCAAAGAAAATGTTTTTTTTTCTGTTGTAACCTAATTTAGATAAAGTCAGGAAATGCACAATTAACGTACTTCTCTCTCAACAAAACCTTGAAGTACACCTTTTATAAAAATTCCAAATGTAAAAGTTCTAAAACAAGGTAAACATGACCCCAGATTCATTGTCAATATATTCACAAACCATTACCCGCTTCTTCTGTAGGAATTGGACAGGAAATTAGCACTTTAATCAATTCATTGTGATCAGCTGGAGGGAGCACCTTTACAAAAGCAGACATTTTTGTTCGTTTTCCGGTCTAAACCAAATCAATCTGGACTATAGTAGAGACTAAAGAAATCCCCAGGAATGTGATAGACTGACATTTTCACGTGTAAAACTGTTACTTCATCTTACTGGAAAAAGGTTTTCTTAAGCTTGTTATTGAGTATTCAGTCGTGACCTGCGCTTAATTTTCCACCCAGCGCTGCCACCCTTTGGCTAAACGTTATGACGTTCTGTAATGTGAATCATCACGTTGCTCATCTAAAGTCGTATTCCAATCATTTAAAGACCTTATTTAAGAAATTGAATCTTTAAAAACATTGTGTCAACAGTTGAATGCTTTAAAGTGCTTCATATTTTTGTACTACTTTATACAGCGCCAGGAGTCCTCTCAAGTGTTTGAAGGTTTTGTTGCTATCCCCCTTTTTGTCCACATTCTAGACCCTTATAGTGACTCAGAAGATCAACCTGAAGGCAGAAAATGAGCAGGGACTGACGGATACATCTTGTCAAGACCATATGATAGGTAAGCTTTTGTATTACTTTTAGTTAAAAAAAACAACAACACTGTGGCAGTCCAAGAATTATGGATTATTATCATTTGCTGTCCAGCAAATGAGGCTATGTTGTATTACTTTAAGCTGAAATTATGTTTAAGGATCTGGTCTAATGTATTGGAGCCACTTTGCCAAAGTTAGAATCGTTTTCTTGTGTGAGAGCATGGGTTTCAACTTCACCCTGATCAGCACATTGAAGCATTGAGATTTATTATACAGTTATAACGGCCCTCTGTGCTTGACAGCTCAATTCTTTTGCCTGACTCACCATTACGGTGTCCACAGTCTAGTTCGGTGCCTGATGCGCGCCCAGCTCAATTTGTACAACATCAGATGTGCGCTGCATGTATAAAAAAAAATAAAAATAGGCTCATCGAAGAGCATGAGATGGAATGATGGCTTGTTACTGCAGAACAAGAAACTTTCAGCGTTAATTTTAATGCATTGGAAAGAAATGTTAACAATATTCGGTGGTGTAGGGAGTCAAAAGCGCCATTTTAAAAGCTTCTCCTTAATTTATAACTATTTATACCTTAGGGCTAAACTCATGCCATGGTTTGTTTAAATAGAAAAGAAAAAGTTTCAAATGATTTAATTTGTTTTTGTGCATAATAGCCTCAATCCACACATACAGAATTCATTTATTTAAAAAAAGAAGAAAAAAGAACAAATAGCCAAACGGTAAACGACTGTGATGGATTGGCAACCTGTCCAGGGTGTACCCCGCCACCCATCCAATGACAGCTGGGATTAGTTCCAGCCCCCCCCCTCCGGCCCTCTGGGAAATAAGCAGTGTGGACAGAGAATGGACAGGTGCATGTCAAAGCCCCCGACCAAACCCTGTATGTTTTGGTAGAAAAAGGGGGTAAAAAATTGGACTCAATAAAAAAAATAATCATTAATTGATTGATATTTAAATTATCAGAAACTTTTTTTACAAGAGATTTCTTTGTCTTTTTTTTTTACCTGCAAAACTTTGTGGCAGCCTCGTCAGATCCATTCTTTCGAATCCGAAACAACGATAACAGATTCAGGTGATAACGCACAACAGATGACATCGGATAATAAGATTGATCTTTGAAGTACCTCGGCAAAGATTTTTTTTTCCCCCGAGCTGCCGGGGGACAGACGGGCTCGTGGCGGCTCGAATTTGTGGCGCCGTCTGCAAACCGGTTAATTGTTTCGGCGTTCTGCCTCCTTTACATTCCGCCAGCTGAGATCTTCAAAACAGCATGAATAAAATATTTCATAAAAGTTGCAGCTGTGCCCCCCTCCCACCATCCTCCCCAAAGCACGGCTTTATGCCTGGTAAACACATCAATCACATGAATAGTTTACATCCCGACAGTCTGTGTTGCGAGCAGAAGCCATGCTCCTTTTATGAATGTGGGTTTTCAAGTTCACTCCACGCTAGTCGGTTTTTGTACATTTAGGGAACTTCCATTTGACAATAATGGCAAAACAACATTGTGACTGACGCAGAAAATGGTGGGAAAAAATAAATAAAACTGAACATCTGCAAGGCTTTGATGGCATTGTTTATCAAAACTAACCGTGCCTCGCCTGGCGCATCAAAGCAATGAGGCCGAGTTGGCTTCAGGCCAGGTGGACGTTTGTTTTAACCACTCGGGAGACTTGTGTCTTTCGTGGAGTTGGGACTTCCCAATTTGTGTCAGCTCTCATCCGGCCGCCCCCTGCGAAATGGCGTTATCGTCACCGGTGGATGACTCAGCCGTTTTTCCCTTTGATGCCTTGTTCATCGCGTAAAGCCAATTTCACACGGCGCAGGCATCGGCTAACCAGCGTCACCCCCTTCCCCCGAAACCCAAAGGTTGTGTACAGGAAAGATAGGGAACTCAGGAGCTGCTGGAAAAAAAAAAAAGATTGCGTCCAGTCGTCCCCGCCGCTGGGTAGAATTACTGTGGACCTCGTTATAGTTCGGATATAGAGGGCATTTTGAACTGCCAGGCTTGGCATTCAATTATACAGCCGTGTAATCTATGACTCCCGGACGCTTTTCTCTTCCATACACACAAGTGCGCCCGTGTATTATTTATGTGAACACATGCGCTTAGCTTTTTTCTGTTTAATTCCAGCACATGTTAACAGTTTTCAAGCGCCTCAAAGGGCCATCTGTGTGATGAACATGCCGTAGCTGTGCGTGTCGTTTCACAGGTTCTCGGCGTACGCGACACCGCAGAATATCAGAAGTAATTAGACAAAAAACTTGTACACACCAGGAAAGATTCTGACTTTGTTTTGCTCTTTGAAGGGCAGAGAACAGCAAGAACAAAACAAAAAACATCTGTGATACTTTCATCTTTTGCTTTTGGGGTTTTATTGTTTTATATTCTGTGAGCGGAAGCAAAATCTTTTAGGATTTTATTTATTTATAATGTGCATGTGGACATGGGGCAAAATTTAAGATGATTCCGCATGCAGCAGTTTGCACGACTAATAAACCAACGTTTTGTAGCACAGAAAAGAAACGTCAATTATTGATTTTTACCGTTTCTGTCCAATTTTAGCAATGCGATGCTTAAGTATGCAAGGCTTTCCCCAAAAATGCAAGAGAATCCTAAGAGCAAGAGTTTTATACCCACTTTGCTCAAGGCTGAACAGAAACAAACTTATACTGGACTTTGTTAATCCTGACAAACTTTAATTCCAACTTGAATAGAGTATTACAAAGTGGTAGATATGGTAGGATTTCACAGTCTCCACCTGCCACCAGATGCACTGTGAAGCTCGAATGATTTAGCAGATGTAACCGTTTGGCCGTTAGCGTTCACAGTTACAAGGACCTGGGCTGAGTAGAGTGGCCTTCCATCTGTTCCAGCTCGAGTCGAGATGCTTTGGACTTTTAAGTAGCGTCAATCTGTTCCCTGCCGGCCGTCACTTTCCCTTCGACACAACCCAAAAAGCGGCACGGCAGCAATAATTCAGCTTAAAAGACAAACGTGGTTGTGTATAATGTGAAATGTGAGACATCTGAAGCTTCAAGCTAACAATTTTCGGGACGAGACTGAAGTAGAAAAGGAGAGAGCAGAGATCCAGATTGTTAACATGCTGAGAAAGAAGGATGCTTCTCTGAGCCCTTCACAGTCTGTCATAAGATTGGGTTGAGCTCAGAGTTTCTGGCTCCAGGTGCTTTGTGTTATTTGTTGTGTATTCTAACAATACATCACAGCATAAAGACGTCCTCCGTCAGCTCTTCACTGATGCTTTACTTTCTCTCTTCTCCAACTGAACCCGTCTTAGATTCCCTGTTTACTCACAATCCCTTCCGCTGCATGTAATTCCAAGCCCTCCTTTCTTCTCTTCTTCCCCCCCCCACCCCCTCGTCGTTGTGTCCCAGACGTCACAGTCCTCTCCCTGTCACTCTAGGCTCCGGCTGTCAGATGAGAACCCTGGACAGCGGTATCGGCACCTTCCCCCTCCCTGATTCTGTATCCCGGGCCGGCGGACGCCACATCCCCAAATCTGAGTCCAGCCCGGACGGGGTGGCCGCAGGCTCCTCCCGGCTCCCCTCTTTCCACCACGACCCCTCACACCCCCATGTGAAAGTGCCTTCCCCTCCAAAAACCCACCCGCACGCCCCCACCAGCAGCATAGGTCACTCCCTGTCCGACCCCGCCGTGACCTGCTGTCCGAACGCCCAGGACACCCAGAGCCGACTGCCCAAGCTGGCGTCCTCAGGTCAGTCGTCATTCAGGGAAACGGGGTCAGGGAATGAACCGTTTTGTCTCTAGAACCCAAAATGAACACGTTCGATGGTGAGCGGGAGACCAGAGGGCCTCGGACGGCTCGTTCACCTCTCAGAAGTCGGGCGAAATATGGCCCCTCGCTGCCATTTGTCCCGTTGCGTTTTCCTCGGGAGCACCTCAGACAAGAGGAAGTCTTTGGGCTTATTAAACTCTGATTAAACAAATAAACCCGGTTTGCCTACCCTGAGCCATAGTGATGCTTGAGGTTTCTGCCTCTTAAAAGCGAGTTTTTCCTTGCCTGTGGTGCCTAGTGCTTGCTTTTGGTGCGAATTGTTGGGCTTTTGTAAATAATATCAATGTTGGGATTCGGTGGTATGTAGATAAAATTTAATTGAACCGAATTGCTCGGCTAACTTGGAGGCCAGCGGTGATATCTGATACGAGAGCGCGGAATCCCGTCGGCTCGCGTGTCCCCCAAGGAATACCGGGAAAAAAGGCGATTAGATGAGCGCGTCAGCAGGGTCGTAGATCGTCAAAGGGCCCAGTGCAGACGATTAAAGCCGGAGTCTCACGAGGGCCAGAGAGATGCATGCTCACAGGACATTAGGGATGCGTCTGTTTTACCTCGGCGGAGGCAGGAGTTTGCCGCTCCGCCGTGGAACGAGGCGATTAGGAGCACCTCGGCGTCTCCCTTGTTATCTGCTTTCCTTCTCTTTGTCGTCGTCTGCCGCCGTGTTGAAAGACGAGAGATATATTTCAGCCGAGGAGACAGAAGCGGCCCGAATCCGTGAGAAAAAAGGGGGTATTCAGAGTGCAAGACAATAAAAAAATGTTTTTAAAACAGATGGCCGTCTGAGACGGAGGGAGGTCGAGTTTTAACAAGGCGATGAGAACCGTGGACAGAAGGAATCTCAGGCCAGACGCCGTTACCCTGGCATGGCCCGGAGATTGCGCGGCTCCTTTCATGAATTCACAGCCGGCCGGATTGGCTTTGGTTGAGCAGATGTGCTCATCAGTCTCTAAACCCGATGAAACGGCGTCACCGGAGATTTGTTTCAGCGAGGCGGGTCGGCGGCAAAGGATGGTCTTGTGTTTTTTCTTACTAATTGACGTCCACCTCGTGACTCATTCCCTCCTTCCATCTCCCCTGACTTCCAGATGCCATCAGGACAAAGAGGCTGAGCTTTTGTGCCCAACGCAGCAGCTTCTCACGCTCGACCGAGGACAAAGAGAGAGAAGCGGAGAGGAAGACGAAGATCCCGGACCTTGATGCGTGTGGCGTAAGGCCCATTTTAAATGATGACATGCAAGCGTCTGCATTCTGAACAGGAATGGCCACAATTAGGGTTTCGACCATGGCTTTTGCTAAAAGCAGTCAGCCTCCTGAGATGGAGTACAAAAAAAGACAATTACACACAAACTAAAGCACGGAAAACCATATTGAAATCATTGCTATTCAGTGAAAATTCAACATTCCATAGTTGTACCATCTGCACTTCAAAAGTACTTGCACCCGCTTTAAAAATAAAAGTAAAAATGTCTGGATTATTTATTAAAAAGGAGGAATTTCCAGCTCTGAAAAATGAGATTGCTTATATCCTGGAAATTCTGTGGGAACTAAAAAACAAAAAAAGGAAAGAAAACTAAACACTCTACAGGTGTTTTTGAGTGGGATTTAAAGAGGATTTCAAAGTCAATATTTCCATTTAGACAGACACATATCCCAAACTTTCCTATTGGACCAGCTGGTTCTATGGGGAGTTTCACAGTGAGGGGAAATAAAATAGAACGGGTTCATTTTTCTGGTGATGTTCCTCACTGTTAAGAGTTGTTCATGATGCACATTTGCCTCCTCTTTTGTCTGCGAACAGGAGAGGGCCTTCCAAGTGTGCACGTACTCGGGAAGCAGCAGCGACACCGAGACCGAGCCCGACGGGAGCTCTCTGGCCGACCGAGCCAGGACGGCCGACTCTGGTCTGCTCCAGGTTTTTTTTTTCCCGCCACCCGGCGTTTTGTTCCTTCCCCCCCACCCCCTCGACTTTTGCGGCTGGTCGGTTAAATGCCATTCCTTTTTGTTTTTATATAGCCGATCAGAACGAGGACACCCTGAAGAGCCGGAGTGCGGAGAAGAAAGCCCTGTCCATCATGGACTGCTACCAGCACGACGTCTTCTCGCACCTGGAGAAGGACAACCGGAGGATCTCCGAGTACGGCCTGCTGCTCAAGGAGCCGTCCCTCGACGGCAAAGCCGGAGACAGGCTGAGTGTGAGTATCGAAGCAGCTCACGATTTGTGATAAACTCATTGACTGCCAGCCATTTTCAGAACAGAGAGTCCCATACTGCCAGAGTTTTATTAGCATTTTGACTGATTTTTCAAGAGCCACAGAATAGTTTGTGCTATGACTATGTAAACACCGAACACACCAAAAGAAAGAGTAGACTCTCTTCTTTCATCAGGAAAAAAATTTTTTTCTACCTTATTCCGTTCTTCCTCGACTTGCGTCTCACCGGCGACATGTTCTCTCATAGCGAACCATTACATTTTTCTTATTTGCCTACAATCTATGCTCATCTCCCATCAAAAGTGGCACTTCCACCTAGAGGGTCAATTTGTTAGTACATACTCTGTCCAGAAGCCGATATTTACGGACAAGCTTTAGCAGATCGTCCCCCAAGCCACTCGCGTTGAAAAACATAAAAGACGTCTATAGACGTCTTTGGCAGTCAACGGTTGTATTTGAATTGACGTCTATAGACGTCTTTGGCAGTCAACGGTTGTATTTGAATTGACGTCTATAGACGTCTTTGGCAGCCAATGAGTTAATTTGATTTTGACTGATTCCCATAAAGGAATTTATTGGTCTTGGTCACTATCAGTGTTTGGAATTTGTTGGATTTAGGCTCAGAGGGTATAAATTGATTTTTTTTTAATGATCAGAAGACCAAAGTTTTGGATTTGTCGCGTACAAAAAACCAGGGAGCCCTCCGTTTTAGATCGGCCCCAAAGGCCCTACCGTTAGAGCGATTAAACACAAGGCAGCAACCCATGTTTGGAAAAGGGGGGGGTTTGCCCTTGATGGAACCTTCCGCGTTCCTTGCTGCGCAGTCCAGCAGAAATTGAATTTTTACAATTCGTGTCACAGAGTCCTGTCGAGCTACAAAGTCTTAATAGTTCCCGAGGCGTGGAGAAAAAACCCACTTAGGTTTCCCTTTCCATGCCGCCAACATGGCTGGCGCTCCAAGGTTTTCTTTTCTGCTCCCGGAATAGTTTGCAGATTTTCATAGAAAAAAAGGTCGACTAATTGCTTTCGATCGCCTCGGCCCCCTCGTGTCAGCGGGTATTTGCCTACAAGTATTTAACACAGCTGAATGACAAATTAGGATCAGGAACCATGAAATGGCCTCCAGCCTGCGTGCGACGATTCTGTGGGTAAGGGGGGGGGGCAGACTCTCTCTTCACTTAAAGCTGCCGCAGTCCCATCGCCGACTCGCGACAGAAAAATCCATATTCCCCCAAGAAAAGGCTCTGACTCCACGCAACTTTTTAAAAAACAATCAAGCGCGAGAAGTGGAGGGGAAAATCAGAATTTTATGTCCGCCGCCGACTGTTGACCGCGCCGTGCCGTTTTGAAAACGAGCCCGAGATTACAACAGAGACCTTTTATGTTCAGCTTTTCGAAATTCAGACGATGAATTTAAAAAGAAATCCGCACGGAGGTCAAATATGTAGCCTCACTGCTAAATATGACGCAGGTTTCATGGAAAACGGGCCATTAATTAGTAGGAATTTACGGTTGTTTGTATGTGTATATATATATATATATATATATATATATATATAGAGAGAGAGAGAGAGAGTCCATCTCTGAACACAGTCGGCCATTACTGAGTCTTGAAGGATCCACCTTTCTGTGCAGAAATTATGTACTCAAATCTTCTGATTTAAAAAAAAATCTTATATAGTTTTTTTCCCCCTTAAATGAGTGAGGAAATTAAAAGCGCAAACCTTCCCCCGAAGTCAAATAAACTGAGCGGACTCCCGCATTTTAGGATTCCCCCCGAATAACGGCAGCCGGATTATTTAAATCGACGGATTAAAGTTTTTTTTTGTTTCCGAACAGGCCTGGCTGTCAGCCCAAAAAAGTTGGGGCTATCGCGCCGACGTTAGCTTTATTCCGCAGCCGGGGAGCCGCTCTAATGATGGATGACTGCTGCTGAACCCATTTACCCTGCATTATTCTTCGGAGAAAGACAATCTATCCGAGTGTCATCACCTCCTCGCCCCCCTGGCCGCGCACGTCCGCACCTGTGCGGCCGCCTCTCCCTTTCTTTTCTTTTCTTTTCTTTTTGAGTCCGAAAAAAGTCGACGTGCAGTTTTATGCACTTTGAGCACAGTCACCGGACAACAGAGTCTACTGTCCTTTTCACCTTAGTTTACGTCTTTTGATGGAAAATCAATTTCTCATATTGGGGCTGCTTTGGGCTTCAGGCTGTGCGGCTCCCGAGTCAAATTTCACATTCCGGCAGCACGTGTTGGTGCCACCTCCTCCTTTTGATTCCGTTTCTGTACGTATATATGTGCATACGCTCCAAAACAATGACTGTTTTTGGTACTGTTTTACCCGCGCGAAGACGGAGATTTTCCAATTCCGCTAACTGTTTTATGCGCGTCAGGGGAACGTTGCATATTACATTTCAGAGCGCTCTGTTTTATTTCTCCTCTGGAAGTTGGGGGCGAGTTGAGTTATATCTCGGAAGAAAACCTTGTCGCTCGGCTGTCTGCTCTGTCACCTGCTGCCAATAGAAAGGGTTGGCTTTCTTAAGAACATGGCACTGGGACATTTTTTCCCATTTGGCCCCCACCAATACCCCCAATGGACGAATCGTCAAATAGAGCAAAATGTTTTCGCAATCGTTGGAGGTATAAGGGTACAAATCAGAGAGGATGCGGCGACCAGTTCGCCATAGCGCCGCCTCAAAGATGGCGTCTGCCCCCCCTTTTGGTTTCTTTTTGCCCTAAAGCAGACCAGACTTTGGCTCTTCAGTGGCTGAGTTTTAGCAGCCAGCGAGTCCTCCAAATGAACCTGAGTCCAACGGGCCCCATTAGCGGTGGCCCCAATCCGCCTCGGTAATAACGCCCACCACGCGCACGTCGGGGACCCCCCCCCCCCCCCCCGCGCCGCCCCCCCCCCCCCCCCCCGCGGCCCACGCCGGCCCCCCCCACCTTGTTGTCAGCCCCCGCTTTTGTAAACATCGAGTTTATCCCCCCCCCCCCACCCCCGGTGTAGTGTTGTCCTTCAAAGCAATAAGACTTGCCGGAT